CAAAAGAAGAATGGATACAGAAAATGTGGTACATTTACACAATGGTGTATCACTCAGCCATTAAAAAATGTCATATAATATTTGCAGGCAAATGGATAGATTTAGGGGAAAAAATCATCCCGAATGAGGTAAAGGGCCAGCCAAAGAATACATTTTGGCCCTGAAACCAAAGTCAGTGAAAGAAACACACCTCAACCCCAAAACCAGAGCCAAAAGATTCAAAAGGGCCAGTGAAAAAAAATGCATTGGCCCTGAAACCAGAGCTAAAGAAACAGACTTTGCCACTGACCAATTCAGCATGAAAAACAACCAATCTCTGAACAGGAAGACCAATCAATCCATGATCATGAAATTCAGTTAATCTCTGAGCTTATCAAAACTCAGGGATTGAAATCCGTTGAAATCTGACCCATTTTGAAATTCCCATCTTGAAAATCTTCACCCTGGGAAAACTCCACCCCTAAGAAGCTCTACATAACTCCTGTATCTGTTCAGTTGTGAGCTATATTTTCCCACCTTTACTGAGATAGCCACTCTCCGGGATTCATCTGTCCAATAAATTTGTTGAATGATACCTTCTTTTGCCAAGTGGAGCCCGCCAGAGAAGTAACAACTTTCACCTGAGCAGGGGCAGAATGACTGCATGTATGTAGGGAAACTCTCTTAGTAGAGTGGAGCGATGAAGTAACAACTCTCCCAGAGAGGAGCGGAACAGCTACATCTCTGTGGGGAAACTCCCTTAGTGAAGCTGAGCAGAGCTGAACTGTAATGGCTCTCTTGGAGAGCAGCAGGACTTCTACGTTCCTGTGTGGAAACCGTCCCCTACCAGAACAGAGCTGTAAGTATTGCCTGGCCTCTTACAGCCTGGATACCTTTCCTTCCAGAGCTGTAACACTTAGAAGTATTGCCTGGCCTCTTACAGCCTGGATACCTTTCCTTCCAGAGCTGTAACACTTACAATAACTGAAATGCAGGAAGATAAAGATCTTATGTATTCTCTTACTAGTGAATATTAGCCATCAAATGAATGCTAACCAAGCTATAATCCATAGGCCCATAGAGGTTAGGTATGAAGGAAGGTACTAGGGGGACACATGGGTGTCCCCGGAAGGGGACACAGAATAAATTTTATATGTGTACTGGTGGTGGGTGTGGACTGGAACAGGAGTATCACGATGGGAGTGGGAGGAGAAATAAGGTTGAAGGAGAAAATGTTCCCGTGTTTTCAGTATGATATTCTTCAGGGTACCAAAAGAGACATTAACACCAACACAGACACAAAGTCTTCAATAATCTTTCCTGATTACAAAAAAGTGGTATAGTAATGCCGGCACAAAGCTTGTGGGAGTAGTCAGTCCATGTGTGATTTGAGTTAAGGCTCACCCCACACAACAGAACCCTTATGTGGTCCTCTTTGCATGACCTACAACTGAAGATTAGCTAGCCCAGAGGCTTAGGGTAAAATCAAATACTAGTTGTCTAAGAAAAACATGTTCTGATAAAATAGCTCCTAAGGATATTCTGCTAGACACAGAACAGAAACTTACTGAGCCATCAGCAGAGAGTCTTCCTCCTGCAGCAAACTGGAACAAACACAGAGACTCACAGCTAGACATTATGCAGAGAGAGAGAGACAGAGACAGAGAGAGAAAGAGACAGAGACAGAGACACACAGAGAGACAGAGACCGAGAGAGAGAGAGAGAGAGAGAGAGAGAGAGACAGAGAGACACAGAGAGAGAGAGACTTTGGGATACACACCTCTAAATAGGATTTATCCATCATATTCCTCCACTCAGAGCTCAAGGAACCCCTCAGAATAGGAGGCAGTAGGAATCGGGGAACCAAAGGGCATGGATAACACCTGGAAAACAAGGTCCTCTAAAGCAGTTTAACAAATCTCATATGAATACACAGGGCTGAATCACCAATCATAGGGCCTATATGGGTCTGACCAGATACTTGACATATACATTATAGCTTTCAGGTTAGTATTTTTGTCTGTCAATGATTTTGTGTCTTCTCTTGGAGATCTTTTCCTCCTGTTGCTTTGCCTTCTCCATCTTTGATGTAGTAGGTTTTGTTTTATCTTATTATATTTCATTTTTTTAAAAGGCTCTGTGATAAAATATAAATAAAAATTTTCATTTGCTTTAAAATTAGTAATAAATAATTCTTTCTTTTCAAAGATTTATTCTTACATGTATGAGTGTACAGAGATCAGAATATACAGTTTGATCCTCTAGAACTGAATTTATGAATGGTTGTGGAACTCCATGAGGGTGCTGGGAATAGAACATGAGTACTCTAGAGGAGCAGTCAATGCTCTTGACAACTGAGTCATCACTCCAGCCCTGGTAATGCATATTTCTTAATAACCAGTATTATATTTTAACTTCCCTGTTTTGAAATTATATAAAACTTCATGAATATGAAAGTGCATTCAGTTGCTTTAGCTACAAAAAATGAAAATCATAGTTATGATGAGAGTCCTTCATCACATAAGAATGGCTATCATCAAAAGATGACCAAAACCTAATGAGCATGTGGGAATTTTAGGGAATCACTTGAAAATATCTAGTGTGAGTAGAAACTGAGACAGCCAGTGTAGTAAGCAGTATACAGCTGCTTCAGTTAATGAATGTATGAGTAGTATGTTATGGTTCATCGTACCTTTCATGGGACTTCTTGAAGCTACCAAGGTCAGCATGTCACATAGACACTTTCCTGCCCATATTTATTTCAGCAAAATTCAGAATACACATGATATGGAATCAACCTTGATGCCTGCCAACAAATGAACAAATAAAGATATGGAAAAATTTGTTATTTTACTTCACACATACATAGTCATTATTGTCATTTACAATGCATTCTTAGAATTTTGAAAGTTTCATTCAATAAATTATCTCACTTAAATAAACAGTGGTTTTTAACTGTTATATAACCAATTATATAGACATTTAAATATTTAACTTCTATGTAATTCATAAATAATTGAAACCAAAGGTAAAGTTAAATGAATAAGATTACTGAGTCCAGACTTCTCTTAGACCTATTGGAAGTCAGATAAAAGGCATGCAGAGTTTATACACATACAACAGAGTTGTCCTTAATCTAGAAGAATTAACTGATATGAGGAATTGAGGACAGGACAAGAGATAACACATTAAACTCAAGAGTCAGACTTGAGAAATTCAGACTTTTCACAGACTCTATATGCAATAGCATGTGTGTTTGACACACTTCTTTTTGCACAAAGAAAATAATATAGGTATTATATGAGCATTGAAAAGTGTAACATGAATTTTAAAAGTTCTTTTTAATAAAAAACCCAGTGCCAGATATTGGAGTAAACGCTGAAACCCAGAGAGACAAAGGAACAAACTACTGCTGCATCTTACCTCTAGGAATCATCAGGCTGAAAAGCCTTTAGGTCCTGTCTCCTCATACCTTGTATAACTTTCTCCAAACAGTCATCACTTCCTTCCTAGTGCTGGGATTAATGGGGTGTGCTTCCCAAATACTGGGATTGAAGGTATGAGATCTCAAGTGCTTGGATTAAAGGTGTGTGCCACCACTATCTGGCTCTGTTTCTCTTCTAGACTGAGTCAATCTCATGTAGTACAAGTGGTTTTGAACTCACAGGGATCCAGATGGATCTCTCCCTCCCAAATGCTAGGATTAAAGGTGTGTTTCACCACTGACTGGCTTCAGTGTTTAATCTAGTGGTTTGTTCTGTTCTCTGATCTTCAGGCAAATTTTATTAGGGCACACAATATATCACCACAGAAAAGGCTTGAGAGAACTGGGGATAGGATACGTTATGAAGCCAATGAGAAGAAAAATACAGAAGAAAATATCATCAGTAAACTCTCCCACTGACAATGCAGATTCTATAATGCAATGAAGAGTGGATAACTAGGAAAAATTGTATAAGAGTTTACACATTCAACACAGGGTTACTTCAAATTATTATTTCCTTCTAAGATACTCAGCAGAAGACTTCTTCACAGCCACTACTAAAATGTAAAATAAACAAAAAACAATGTACGAAATCAAAGATAAAGTAGAAGAAATTGGTCATTACAACGTATCTATGAAAACTGAGGATCAGGGATGGAGATCATGTTTTAGAGCTCAAATATTCAGCTTATCTTCCCATTAATAATGATTGATTGGGAGGAGGAGAAATGGTGGGTCTTATGTCATATTTGAAATAATGCACAAGCATCTGATCATCTCTCTGGATCTTGTTGAATATTTAAAAATCAACATTTAACATGCAAATGAACTCACTTTACACAGAATGTAATTATGTGATGAGCTGGACAGTTTTGGATATAACAGGACTCAGGAAATTTTGGGATTTGACCTGATAATTGGTTCTCAAGACAATGGAAGCACAGGTTTTGGTTAAATATCCTGTACCTGTCACTGGTGTAGCATAGTTCCCATTGTGCATACTTTGTTATTTCAGATGCTCCACAAATGAGGCTACCTCTCCCTGGAATGGACTTGTTGATATAATGCCCTGTGTGTAACCATGAATTTCAACTTTGTTGGTCCTTCTTGAACCATTAATTTATGTTTCACTGTGGGTCATCTAGGAAAATACACTGACATCATTTCTAATAATGTTCACCTAAACCTAGGTAGTCCTGGGACCAAATTCTTTCAACCTGGCTTCATCCCATGGGCCTTATGTCCACAAACATGACTGATGTCATGGAACAAGAGACTGAACTATCCCCATTTATAATTATTAACCCATGTTTTTCACATGGACTGGGGACCTCAGGTGCAAAGCCCCAGGGAAAAGATTGTCCAAGATTACTCCAGGGGTGAGGAAATAACTGGAAAAAGGGAAACTTTGATGTGTAAATAGCCTCTCATTTAGCTAAGAAATAAAAGCAGGTAGGAATAAGTGGGTGCCCATTTGATATACTTATCTGCATAGCACTTCACAATTCACACTTCCTTAGTGTAGAGCAGGGCAAAGATGTTCACTTTGATTTTCCTCTTCTTGCTCCTGAACATTCCACTTCTCCTGGCCAGTTTTACTTATTCCAGGTGCTTTTGGAAAATGAAGAAGACTGAAGACAAGGATGAAAACTTGGTGTCAAGTTGTATCTTCTTCATCAGAACAGTGCAGTGGCCAGTGGAGAAAGAGTATTTCAACAACATTTTGAATATACAGTAAGTGCTTTTGTATTTTTCATGTAAATTGTCATCAGGAATATTTCATGAGGGGTTTGAGGATGAGGAACAGAGCAATGCTTTGAGTCTTCTATCATGTTCTCTCTACCTCCACACCAACAAATGACTCCAAATTCTTCTAAAGATTCATTGCTATTTTACCACTTTTACTTTGTCCAGAGGGTGTTCTATTTTTCTTCCAGTTACTTACAAGGATAGAAGTGGAGTGAAGAAAGCAGTCTCTACCATGATCCATCATGAATAGCTCTCCTCTTGACAGTGTTCATAACACAGTAGTCAGTCTCAGCAAAAGGAACCCATTCTATTTCATGAATTTTGAATTTGCAGTAAATGGTTATAGAGTTTGCTGATGGTCCTTTCATCAGTGTGAGCAAGTTCTAGGACCACAAGCATTTGTTCCACACCTAGGTGCAGAGAGATTTCAGGTACATATTAAGTTACTCTCTCAAATTCCTCGCATGTGGTCACTCTGCCTTCTGAAGATGCATCAGGAATGGAAGCAGGAGACATATCCACTGTGAACTCCATGTTTTCTAGGGAAGGAATTTATGAATTGTAAAGTATATGTTTATATTCTTTGGAAAGTGAGGCTATCATTAATAGTGATGTATTGTCACTTTCCTTGTCACTTGCCTGAGTAACAGCTGTGGCATGTGATAGTTGGCAACACTTGCGAACATGGATAGAAGAATTACTGACTAGCTCATCTTTGCCATTATTTAAGAAGCATGTGTCTTTTCTTTTTATGTATATGTTGTTTCTTGTCTGATACTTATATCACATTTACTTCTTATGTTTCTCTTTCTGTAATCTTACTAATTATAGCTGCATATTTTACAAATATGGGCACTGTACACATGTTGATTTTGTGGATTGCTCATAGTTGCTTTCAAACACAGTACTTTAAACCAATAGGCAACTCTGACAAGCTCAAGTAACTGATGTTTCTTAACATTTACTATGCAGAAGTTAGTGCTTGAGGTGCACAAGTTCTAGTCTCAAATTTCTTTGTCTTTTACTGAAAATTTCAATAATAATTTTTCTGTGTGGTGAAAGGGAATATTTTAAAAGTGCCTATTTCTATAGACAAAGACACAATTTCTAAGTGAAAAACTGATTGTATTTAACTCTGAGGAAATCATTCAGAATAAAAGAGTATGTTTGATGTGTATTGGTGAGATGATATGAAATGGCTAGGAAGAAGCATGAGTCATTATTTTTCCCATAAATATGAACATAAAATGCCAACATTCTCTTCCAACTGATTTGTTGCCCATTTTTATTACAAAAATAAGTACTTTCTATAAATTTTATACTTTATATTCTTCTATTTTACAAACATGTAATACTGGCATGACAAATCCCAGTAGGATATCAGTATTATGTTAGTATAACTGGAAAAGTAGTCAAAAGATGTTATCTAGAAGAATAATTAGGTTGGTCAGATATACCCAGTGTGAACATATCACATGCCTGTGTAAACATAAAACAGGTGCACAATACTGGAGTGGAGGTGCACGCCCTCAATCTCTGCACTTGGGACCTGCAGCAGGTGTAGCTCTGTGTATTTGAGGTCTGTCTAGACTACAGGAAATTGTTATTCAATACCATGTGATCTGTGACATTTCATGTCCTAAATTATCATTATTCCTGTCTATACAGATAGACACATACAGACATACATCTTTTAACAAATATTTCTTTGGTTTTTGAATTTATTAAAAAAAATAAATGTTAAAAAAAAGTTTTTTTTACCTGCAATAGATAATCCTGAAAGAAAAAGAGAGGGATATGTTAACTATGTTGCCCACTAATTATAATGAATTGTAAGTCCATAAGCCAAATGTTACCCCATAAAGACTATTGTGTAGTTAACAGTTGCTCTTTGACAGCCTTAGCCATTTCAGTTGTTTTCATAAGAAAATAACACAAACTCCTTCGCTAACATATCATATGAATTTTTTATATTGCTCAAGAATTTCAAAATGAAGACAATGTCAGGTTTACTGTTTGGTCAAAGCTTGTGCCCTTAGGTTTTTTTTTTTTTCATTTTTCTTTATTAAGAAATTTTCTACTCACTCCACGTACTATCCACAGATCCCCCTTCTCCCTCCTCCCACCCCCAGCCCTCTTTTCCAAGCCACCCCACATCCTCACATCCCCCAAATCAAGGTCTCCCATGGGAAGCCAGCAAAGCCCAACATACTGAGCCTAGGCAGGTCCAAGCCCCTTCTCACTGCACCAGGGCTGTGCAACGTGTCACATCACAGGCACTGGATTCCTGAAGCTTCCCCTTAGACCAGTGACAGACCCAATCCCCCTGCCTGGGTGCCCCCCAAACAGTTTGAGCCACACAACCATCTTCTGTATCCAAAGGGCCTAGTCTAGTCCCACGGGGGCTCTACAGCCACCAGTCCACAGTTCATGGGCTTCCACTAGTGTGACCAGTCATCTCTATATGTCCTCCCATCATGATCTCGATGTCCCTCACCTGCAATGTCTCTCCTCTCTCTCATCAATTGGATTCCTGGAGCTCAGCCTGGTGCCTGGCCGTGGATCTCTGTATCTGCCTCCATCAGTCACTGGACAAAGGCTGTATGATGACAGCTAGGTTATTTTCTAGTCACCAGAGTAAACCGGTCCAGCTGTGCCCTTGCTTTTAACTTCTGTGCAAGCACTCACAAACCAGATGGAAAACACTCTGATGAAGATGACAATGGCACCTCTCATTTATGGGAGACCCAGCCCTATGAACTTTTAATGCTTTTGCAAGCTTTCAGCTTCTTATATTATCCCAACCTTACAACAGAAGATATTTGTTTCAATATTTGAGAGAGTTTAGGAGTACCATCCATTACAGGATAGTCTTTGTATTGACTACAAATAATCATCTGTTGATCTTTGTCCATAATAAACACTGTACCCTTTTACAGAACATCAAATGACAACTACAAGTTTGCTCTGTCCTTGGCTTTTACTGTGGATGAGGTCAACAGGAACTCTGATCTATTACCAAATAAATCTTTAGAATTTGGTTTATCAGACATTAATTGTAAGGATGTGATTCAACTTTACATTTCCAATATGCTTTTTGAACATGATCATAGTGTTATCCCTAATTATGTCTGTTCTGAAGATATCGAGTGTGTAGTGATGCTTACAGGACCCAACTGGGCAACATCTGCAGTACTTGGGACAATAATGAACATCTATAAATCTCAGCAGGTAAGATTTTATGGGGTGGGTTTGATGTTGCTACCATTCCTAGATGCCAAAAAGAATGTAAGGAGGGGACTGGCCTTACATTTGTATCAGTCTATGTAGTTCATGAGTATTATTCAGAGACTGACGGGCTTTCCACATTACAATCTTTGAATTAGAGATGAGGGACGAAGTAATAGGAGAGGATTATTTTTTATAAATCTTTGCAGAAAAACGTGTTTACAAGTTTTTAGAAGTGCTTGCTATCTCATGCTGCTCCCTGTGTCCTAGATCCTCCAGCTCACCTATGGACCCTTCCATCCTATCCTGAGTGATAATGAAAAGTTTCCCCATCTGTATCAGATGGCCCCACAGGACACATCTCTAGTCCTGGCCATGGTCTCCATCATCCTTCACTTCCGCTGGAACTGGGTAGGTCTGGCCATCTCAGACGATGATCAGGGTACCCAATTTCTCTCACATTTGAGGAGAGAGATGGAAAAAAATGCAGTCTGCTTTGCCTTTGTGAACACGATCCCAGCCAACATGAAGTTATACATGCCAAGAGCTGAACTGTATTATAACCAAATAATGACATCATCCACAAATGTTGTTATCATTTATGGTGACACAGACAGTACTCTAGCTGTGAGCTTTAGAATGTGGGAATCTCTAGGTATACAGAGAATATGGGTGACTACCTCACAGTGGGATGTCACTACAAGTAAGAGAGACTTTACCCTTGACTCATCCCTTGGGAAACTAGCTTTTGCACACCATCATGGTGAGATTTCTGGTTTTAAAAATTTTGTTCAGACATTGAACCCTCTAAAATACACAGATGAATATCTGGCAAGTCTGGAGTGGATGAACTTTAACTGTGAAGGCTCTGCACCCAACTGTAAGACCCTGAGGAACTTCTCATCGAATACCTCAGTGGATTGTCTAGTGGTAGAGACTTTTGACATGGCCTTTATTGATAGCTGTTATGATGTATACAATGCTGTGTATGCTTTTGCTCATGCAATGAATGAGATTCTTCATCAACAGAGAGATAGTCAGCCAATGGACAATGGAAAAGGACATGGTTCTAGCTGCTTGAAGGTAGTGTTTCTTCTACTATATTATATTGGTGTCATCAATATCATATCTTTAGGAGTCTCTCAGATGTGGAAACTCAGTGGACTAGGAAATATTTCCCCAAATAGAAAGATTTCAGAGCATTTTTCCTAATGAGGAAGTAAACATAAATGTTGGTGTAAATCTCTAATGCAAAGGCCGTAGAGTAGAAGACACAATGAATCAAGGAAGATCAGTGATTTTGTTATGGAGCACCTGATTATCATCACCCCTGTTCTAATACAGGAAGCTTTATCAGTCCTTCCTCATGAATGCTCTCCACAATGCGAAAATGAGTCCTTGTTCATTATTAGTCAAATGTGTGGTAATTCGTGTAGGGAATGTTTTTCACACATGCTCTCAATCAATTCTGCCCCCACTGTCAGCTCTGGGGACCTCAATTGGCATTCTGAGAGTACACAGATAATATTGCTATGATTCAGTTCAGTACATACATGTGTATTCAGGTGTGTGAATGGTTATTTCTCACTGTGTATGTGTGTATGTTTGTATTTTTCTGTGTATCTGTGTGCACATATGATTTCCTGTGTATATGTTTGTTTCTATCAGTAGCTGTCTGTCTTCCTGTGGAAGTGAGCATAAATTTGTCTCTGTGTCAGTGTCTTTCTATATGGGTGATTTTTCTCCACATATCTTCATGTGTATATTTGTCAATGAATGTGTCTACATGTGCCTATGTGTGTGTTTTGTATGTTTCCATCTATACGCTTACACATATGTTTATCAGAGTTGCTGTGTCTCTGTGTATATGGACATATGTCATTTGATGAGGGCATAAATTTGTTTGTGTGTCAATGTTTCTCTGTGTTCTTTCTGTATCTGTGTGTCTTTCCTTGTATGTATTTGTCTGTGTTTGTGTGTGTGTCTGTGTATATGCTTTCTGTGTGTCTGTCTGGATGCTTATTCCTGGCTCTGTGTGCCTCTATGTATATATGAATGTTGAGGCATGTGTGTGTAAATAAGATTGTGGCTGTATTTTGTGTCTATCTTTATATGGATGAGTGTGTACGTGTGTGGGGGGAGTGGGGGGGTGTACATTTGTATTGAGTATCTATGTTTTGTGTCTGCATGTATGTCTGTGTTTGTGTTTGGTAGTTTCCTCTGAGAGAACTGAAATTTTAGGAACATTATGATACTCTTACTTATCCATTTGCTTTCACTGAGATTTCTCCCCTGGGCTTCTTAAATAAAGTTGCCTTTAAGATAAAATCAGAATGTTTTTTGACTTCAAGGAAGGACACATACACAATATGATACTGCCTGTATTTCAGTTGCACTCCTTTCTGAGGAAGACCCACTTCACTAATCCTATTGGGGACAGAGTGAATATGAACCAAAAAGAAGAACTTCAGGCAGAGTATGATATTTTCCAGATTTGGAATTTCCCACAGGGTCTTGGACTTAAGGTGAAGATAGGAGAGTTTAACCCATATTTTCAACAAGGCCAACAGCTCCATTTATATGAAGACATTATAGAGTGGGCCACAGGAAGTAGACAGGTGGGTGTGACAAAACTGTACTGATTTCCAATACACAGCAGTAACACTGTCAAGTAGATTCATTTGTGCTTCCTTGTAACATAATGAAATAAATTGTCATATTAAGAACCAATATCTAGCCTCCTATATTATGTTTCTTCTTTTCACTTTTTTTTGATATGACACTTTACTAATCCTTTGAGGATTTCAGACTGCATACAGTATATTTTTACCATATCAGAACCTGTTTCTTGTTTTAAATATAAACATAAAACTGGTTGTAACTATGATTTAATATTTCTAGTGAAGTGAACAATATTCTCTTGTTAACATTATGATTACTATGGAGTGGTTTCCTCCCTTATGCTTAACCTTGGGCACAGATGTTGAAAACAGAGGCTATTGTAAGGATGGAGTAAATTAAAAATACACCAGTCATGAATTTTTATAATCCAATTTTGTTTAATTATTTTTGCAAAGATGTCTGAAATTGTCAACACCTCTAACCATAAATTAACATTTTCATGATCCATATTAGATATTCTATGAATTATAACCTTGCCTTTTCTTTCTTTTTTCTTTTATGTGGGTACTGGTGTTTTGTCTGTATATATTGTATGTCAGGCAACTGCTGTGTGTGTGGTGCATATGGATGCCAGAAGAGTGATTTGCATATCTAGAAACTTGAGACTGCTTAGTGCCATACAGTGGCTGCTAGAAATCAAACTCAGGTCTTCTTTATGAGCAGGAATTGTTACTGAAAGCTAAGCCATCTCTCTAGCTCTGAATCACACCCTGTAAAAATAAATTACTCAATAGAGGAACTTTACCTGGTCCCATTAATTATTTCATAGTTCATTCAAGCTAATAAGGGAGTGTCTATATTTTTTCACTATATGGGAAGTATTGGTAGTAATAAAAATTGGTTTTGAGGAAATTTGTAAATGAAATATTTGTAAATGAATTATGCATCCTCAGATTTTATAGGTATGTATTTATTTATTTTTTTTATTTTACAACACCATTCAGTTCAACATAATAGCCACAGATTCCCCTGTTCTCCCCCTCTCGCCCCCTCCCCCTGCCCCCAGCGCACCCCCCATTCCCACCTCCTCCAGATCAAAGTCTTCCCCGAGGACCGGGATTGACCTGGTAGACTCAGTCCAGGCAGGTCCATTCCCCCCCCCTCCCAGACCGAGCCAAATGTCCCTGCATAAGTCCCAGGATTCAAACAG